ACACTGAGGGTTGCGATCCCGTTGCCGGTCCCGGGCCGGTACAGGCGCGACACTGAGGGTTGCGATCCGTTGCCGGTCACGAAAAAAGACAAAAAGGAAAAAATATATATATATTAGCTTTGAGCTCTTTGTAAAGCATAGACAAAGGAGAATTGGTTTGATCACATTGTTATCAATGCATAATAAAAGTAAGCATCTGTGCGTAACAGAGCTGTTAAAAAGAATAACTTGGGATCTGTTACTACAACCCCTTTTGGAAAAAGTGAAACTGGGATAATAGGAGGCCCTTCATTCCATAGAGCACGTTGATCAGGTTGGGACATTCAAGTTGGAGAATAAGAGACATGGGAAGCTGTGATTATTTCCACAACAGTGAAAAATCTGCAACTCAGGAAGCAGCCCAGGGTGGAGGGACGAGGCATGGAGCTGATCAACACAATATGCACCACCTCCGTGGCCTCCCGAATGTTTAATAATAGTTACTCTACCCATGAAAAGCTTGTGTTTTTTGAAGAAACCAGTGAAGTGTTGTGTTCATTGTCTGGAATTACAGCAGTGTATGAGAAAGGTAATAACAGCAGTGCAGGAATTGCCTGTAGAAGTGCAATGAAAATGTGTGCTCCTAGAGGTACCCAAAATCATGGAGAGGACTTCTAAATTTTTATGACTTGGGATGTTACTATTAAGAAATTATACCTCAGTATCTCAGAGGAAATGATAACTTGATCTAATTTGTTTAAGAGGAAAGACTGTTATTTTAATTCTTTATATTTATGTCTTCATATGGAGGAAATTCATCTCTATGATAGAAACTAAGATCTTGAAAATAAAGGCTCCAGCACTTTGAAGACTTCGTATATCAGGCCATCCCTTATAATTATCCATAGTAAAGGCCAATTATATTAACCTTTAATTATAATTTTGAAAATCCAAAACTGTGAAGGATCTGAGGAATATTGCTCAGGCACACACAATTTGGGGATTCATACTTGATCATGAAAACATAGTGTATTCCTGAACCCACTTGGTAAAGGCCAATTATATTAACCTTTAATTATAATTTTGAAAATCCAAAACTGTGAAGGATCTGAGGAATATTGCTCAGACACACACAATTTGGGGATTCATACTTGATCATGAAAACATAGTGTATTCCTGAACCCACTTGTGAGCCAGTGTGATGCATTAGTACATTTTTTATTTATGGGGTTGGGATTATAAAGTTGAAAGACTAACTGAAATAGTTTTATTTAAGAAAAAATTTGCTGAACTTACCCATAATGATAGAGTTCAGGCACAATTATACAGTTCACAAAGGAGCACTTAAAAAAAATGTTTCTTTTGATGGAAATGTTTGAAATCAACAACGACAAGATCAATATGGCAAGTAGCAATTTAAAAAATGAATACGATGGGATTTAGGGGAAGGAAAACCAAACCTCAATTCAGTACGGAGATGAGGAAGGATTCTAGTAATCACAGCTGTAAACTGAAGGAAGAGGTCTGCATGGGAATTGTTCGGAAAGACTCCTGGGTTATCTCCATCACCACGTCAGATGAGGTTCTGCCCCCAAAAGGCAATGGTATATATACTATTTGAAACACAGGAAATTAATGATTATGAGATCCATGGTTTTTGCAGTTCCAGGTTAGCATCATTATTCCAGTTTTTAATATTCACATTCTTTATGATGAGTTCTGCATTTTCTTCCATTTTCTCTTGGCACATATATTTCAATTCCATATAACAGAGAAATTGTGCTAGGATAATATAAGAAAAAAAGGTGCCCCTTCATTTTCTTTTTCCTCTTTTTTCTTTCTCTAAGGGAAAAACAAAATATGAGAAATACTAAAGTAAAACTTCACTAAAAAATACTGTAGGAGACTGTTGTATTGCTATTATTAGGGGAGAGGCCCCGTCCACAATATAGACAGATTTCTCTCTGTCACTCAAAAATGCCAAGATTTCAGGGAACACAACAGAAAATTTCCTTAATTCTCCTAAGGGATTTTACCTTTATCTCCTGAATAAGTTAAGGCAGCTCAAGGATGGCAGATAAATTTACTTCAGGTACAGGGACCATATACAATGGTACTTCAAAAAAATTCATGGAAAGATTCATATTATCTTTTAACTCTATTTTTCTCCAAACTTTTTGAAGTACCCTCATATATATACTCTATTCTAATTTCAAACATTCTGTGCCTCATTCCACAAAGCAACTAAGCATCCGAAAGATCCCAATATTTCACTCTTGTAAATCAAATTAGGTAGAATACTAGACTGTCTTTTAAACCTGAAATTAATACAAACATCTATTAACATGTCACATGCCTCTAGCGTGTGCTTCTGAAAATGTGGTCATTATATTGTTAGTGTTTAGCTCTTACAAAAAATTGCACTTCTTATATTCATCACAAATTGGAAGTAAGAAAATGAGATTGCCCTTTGCACACTGAAATAGCAAACTCAACAAAGATCGGAATCAGATGGCATCAAAGATGCACAGCCGTCTTGAAGCAACAGCACAGCTGAGTGGGTAGGGGCACAGGCTGCCTGACCACTAGTTCAGGCTCTACTCTGGCTGTGTGCACTTGGGCACGTTGCTTAATCTCCTTGTGCCTCTGTCTCCTCATCCCTGAAATGGAGATGAAAATACTAGCATCTGCATTGTGTGATTGTTGTGAGGCTGCATTAGTTCATACATGCAAAGGGCTTTCAGGGGTGCCTGGCACAAAGTAAGTGGTAAAATGTCATTCTACTCACATGGTTATTATTGTCACTGTCATCATCATCGTCGTCATCACTATGATCATTATCACGTCTGTTATCATCAGCAGCAGCATTGTCATCATTATCATCAGCAGCATTGTTCTTGGCCAGGAAGACTAGTTCACAATGAGAGTAGATGTAGCCACAAATCCAAAGAAATGATGTTTCTGGTTTTTGGAGATGAAAGTCGTTGGTTAAAATAAGTAAGTTCCTAGGAGAAGAATCTATTCTAGGAGTATAACAAATCAGGGAAGCCTACAAAACAAGGTCAGATTATGACACATTTACTTATTTATTGCCATTCCATGAGGCATCTTAGAAAACAACCAATAGATATTCCCCTGTGGCCTCGCCCCCACACATGTCCATTAAATATTCTCTTACACCTTAGAACTGCTTTCCGCATGGGCAACTGAGAAAAATAGGTTACCCCATTTATTATAATTCCTGGTTCACTTTTATAAATTAAAACATATTTATTTTTGGACAATAAAAATATACTAATTTCTTTTTCTTATTATGAAAAAGTGTGTAGGGCAAGGATTTAAAGAAACAAAAATATTTGCAGTTTCATCTTTGAGTGCTGACCTTTTAAAAACTGGTTTAACTTTCTCCCACTTACTGATGGAATCGGACCTTTGTCACTGGTTTTAATAACCCCAACCTGGTTCAGTTTATTCCAGCTGTTAGAGCGGAGGCGCTAAATATCTTATTAGCACCTTCCTGTTTTTGTATTAAAAAAAAAAAAAAAAAAAAAAAAAAAAA